GTTAATGCTGTTCGCATCGTATCCGTCAGTCTACACCAAACCCCGCCCACATACACTGGCACTAGAGGCACAATTTTGGAAGTCCGCCCTAAATGGCTGAATCCTGTGGCTTTGGGCTGATCCTGGGCTGAACAGAATTAGCCCCAATGAGCCGCAAACCGAGGGGGCGTGGCGAGACGCCTGTCAATCATTCTGAATCACGGCAGACATTGAATGAAAATGGGCTGTGAATAGTTAGCCCTGCAGAACAACCCTGGGATCTTCCCAGGTTGTTTGGCACCAGTTTTCCTTGTAAATTTCACAAAACAAGTTATATTATTTTTAAATTTAGTTTATTTTTAAGTTGTTATTAATAAATTGTATATAATTATAATTTTATAATATTGTTTAACGTTTTTATTGTGAACACCAGGGAGGGCTTAGCCCCAATAGCCCACTTATACCAGCCGCCACTGACCACCACCCAGATCCTCTTTCATTTACCCATGTTCCTTTTGTCTGTCTCCCAGGAGCGTAGCTAAACCTCTACAAGTGGTGGCCAATGTTATTTTTTTTAGTGGGGCACACACAAATAAAATACATACTGTATAATAATACCTGTTTTTTCTATTACGATGGAGTATTAGGGCCACACAAGATTTTTATTATTATTATTGCGACAATTTAGTCATAACTTTATGAAAATAAAGTCAATATTACAAGATTAAAGTCATAATATTATGAGAAAAAGTCAATCTTACAAGATGTGTCCATTTTCTGTGTACAGCCATGCCTCTGTTTATGAAGTAGTCCGCGTTGACTTGGGTCACTGTCAGATTAATATGCTTTCATCCAAATTAGCTTCGTGCTGGCTAAATCTGTCAATGCATGCTTTATTATATAGCCATTTGCACAATTTCCAAGTCCTGCTACTGATAATTTGATGCAAATGTGCTAAAAGATTAACTATTTATTTTAAGCAATACTAAACAACAACTTGAAAAGTTGCTCAATATTCCTCATTTTAATGCAGTTATAACTGCATGCTTTTTTGTGTAAAGCAGGGGTGCCCAAACTTATTCCCTGAGAGGGCCAAAATGAAAATCTACCCAAGGGCTGCGGGCCAAATGCAATAATAGAGGAAATGCATATACTTCTTAAGTAAAGTCTTTTTATGATTAAGCCAAGAGCTAGTGCAGTGGCCCACATTTTATTTGTGTTTTTAATCCATACACTTSCTCGGGCAGCAAAGGCTCATGGAACATTTCATATGTTGATAAAATATGAGTAGTCTTATAAATTTTTCAAATCTACATGTRTGCATAAATCTAATGTAAATATCTTCTTTGGTTTCTCGTATTTTATATTTAACCTTAATATAATTCAGCAGCAAAGTCAGCTATTTGTGCTATACAGTCCTTTATTTAGTCATTGGGCCAYTGGATGTAATTACTGTACATGGATATACAGAGTTTCTACAGAGGATGACAGGCAATTAAAAGCTACTGGTGGGCCAAATCAAATGGCTTGGTGGGCCAATTTTGGCCCACGGGCCCCACTTTGGGCACCTCTGGTGTAAAGGGTATAATGACTTTAATCACGTGATATTGACTTTATTCTCATAACTTAAAGGTATCATGCTTTTAAATCCTTCTTTTTCACGTCTAAATCATTCACTTATGGTCTATTTAAAATAAAACTGCAAAGCTTTGGTCTTAATTCCTCGTTTTTGTTGCTCCACAGACTCCTTGCTTTACTTGCTTTTACCCCTGTTCTGAGTTGCGCCTCAGAGCTAGCTGTTTTGGTGCGGTCTCTTTAAATACAAGTGAGATATTTCACATCCCACCCCCTCCAGGTCGCTGAGCGTTCAACTCCACCTCGTTGGGCCATGTTTGTAGTTTCATAGCAAAAACCCAGTTATCTACCGACTAAAAACTGTTTTTAAGATAAAATAAGATAAGATAAAACTTTATTGATCCCACAGTCTGGAAATTTGCACATTACTGCAGCTTAATACAAGAGAGGCTGAGAAGAATAAGAAAGATTAATAAAAGATAACAAATAAAATCCCACAATATACACGTGATATATAGTAATGTCCCAATGCACATATACATAAACACATATGCTTATTTATACACATATATACACCGTAAAATACAGCACAAAAATGAATGTTTATGAAGGTGCATATTAGTGATGGCAGATGGCAATAGAGTATAAGGATGTCAACAACGGTAGACTTGTCAATCCAGCCTTACATGTACGAGCCAGAGTCTGAYCCAGTGCAAGACACTCAGAATGACAAACCTGCAGAACCACGTCWTCAAACGAATGTGTCACAATGGTGCATTATTTATTTACACACTATGTCCTTACCTACACTGGGGAGCATAGCTAAACTAAAATACATGCATTTGAACTACTATTTAACTATTGTATTATATAATTTACTTTTGTGATCAATAAAGTATTTTGAATTGAACAACTACAATATATTCACACTCATTGTACAGATGTGAAATTATTTTGAATAAATTGATTTTTAGCAAATAAAATG